CCACCCTGGCCTGGCACAAAGCTGCTCGGTTTGGACCATGTCTTCTCCTCCTCACCATCCAGACAGGACTGGGAACCAACTGGTCGCCCTCAGAAGCCTCAAAGCCCCCTCACAGAGCACCAGCCAACCTCTCCTCACCCTCCGTCACCAAGGCCACTGCTCCTTCCTGCCTCCACCTACTTCAACTGTCGTGCAGCTCAGGATGTGGGAGCCACCCCTGGGGAGGCTGGAGCCCCCTCTCTGGCTGGGACAGGGCTGGTTCTAATAGGATGTGCCTCTGCCTCCCTCACAGCAGGGCCTTTCCGGGCTCGGCTCCAGGCACAGGCAGAGGGGGAAAGTGTCTGCTCCCACCTCCCTTCACCATGTCAGTCTCCAGACGCTCCCCCATAGACATGACCCCTACTGGCCCACTGTGGAACTCGCCTGCCCACCTGGCAACCTGAACGCCACACAGGCTGCCCTCCCAGGCCCGCCGCTGGCTGGGTCCTGACCCGACAAGCTGGCAGGTTAGGCAGAGACCAGTGAAGAGAACTGAAGGCCACCACCCCGGGTGAACTCAATGTCCTCTTTTCACCAGGGCAAAAGGTAGGCCCAGAGTCACACAGCTACTAGGTGTCCAACATAACTGGACCCCATGTCGCCTGGCTTTGGCCCAGACTCTCCAGGAGAGCTAGTTCCTTTGTCATGCATGTGCTGTCCCCCAAAGGCCTGCCGGGTGTTGCACCCAAGGCCATCCAGTGCAGAGCAGGGATCCACGTGGCTCTTTGGGGTGGGTGGAGCCTAAGGAATTGCCTGGAATAAGCCCCACCTCTGAAAGGGCAGGCCCTGGAACACAGCCACCCACACAGGATGCCCAGCACAGCCCCTTCCTACACTGTGCTGGGTGGGTGAACATCCTCACCATAGTGAGGACCCCGTAGCGCCTCTTCCCCTCTTTCTGCATGGCAGGAAAGGCTGGCCCCACCCACCCCATCGTCTCTTCTCCAGGCCTGGGCAGCCCCCCACCCAAGGAAGGCAACTCAGCCTCGCTGTCAAACCCAAAGCCAGACACAGGCGGGGGCGGGGGTGCTCCTCACCAGCTCCCCCATCCAGGTCAGGCAGAGTCGGGGAGGGCTCTGAAGGAGGTGGAGGCAGGAGCGGGGGTGCGGCTCCAGGGAGTGGCGTGTAGGACACCTGCAGCACCAGCGAGGCCTGGAAGAGATGAGGGGTAGGGGGTTGGATGTTTCCTTACTCCCTCTCATGAAGGACTCCACCCTAACACGCAGAACCGCCCACAGTAACCTGTCAGCATTGTCAGGTGGTCCCTAGCAGAGCCTGGAGCCAGGTTTGCACCCCAGCCCTGTGCCTCACTTTCCCCATCTGTAAAATGGGGGGGGGGAGGGGCAATAGCAATGACACCTGCCTCCTAAAGGGGCAAAATAAGGATTCAGCCCAGGGACAGAGCACCGAGTCATGACCGACGAGTGGTTAGGGAGATTCAGGCTCTCCAGCACAGAGGTTCAACACTCTGGGCCCCCTGAGGAGCCAAGGGCCCCTGTCTTGCTTCTGCAGAGCTACCACGGCCCAGGCTGCCAGGACTCCAGGGTGCTGCTCAACCCCTAGGGTTCTCTTCCCCTCTAGAAGAATCCCCTGCCCCCACTCCCCGCTGTTCACACCACTCACAGGGACAGGGACAGGGACGGCACCTCCGCCCCTGCCCACCTTGCTCACAGGACCACCTGAGCCTGAAGACAAAAGTGTCCCTTCGGCAGGCTCACCAGCCTCCCAGCGCCAGGCCTGCAAGCAGGGAC